TTAATTAATACCTTTTCCATTATACATATCAGATATTTGGACAAAGCCATTAAAAGGCCCCAGTAAAATACCAAACATAAGAGTTGGTCTAGTTCTATTATTTGAACTATATTTACTTTCCAACTTTATGTATATCTGAATACTTCGGTAGCGAGATGGCTCAACCGAATGTAGGTTTCTAGGGACTATTAACGTTACCTAGTTGATCCTCCGATCAGCCAACCAGATGTGCCAATTTAATGAAGGCTAAATCGGTAATTCTTGATAAGTGGCAATTTATTGGTTGAGACAATAACTAAGGACATCAATAGGATTTTTTCTTCTTCTTCTAAAGATAGGATTTTAAGAGTCTCTCAGATTCGCCCCAACGAAACATACCAAAGTTTCTAATAGAGCGACAACGAAGCACTAAATAAAATCCCTTCGGCGGAAACAGTACTGAGAGAATTATATATAGGCAATGTCTCAGCCTCACAATCCCTCAGAGTATTGCTGTTTTCACGAGGCAAACCCAACTTTACTAAATGTCTTATTTCGTTTATTTACATTGATATTTTCACGGTACTTAGAATTCACCTACGCGTTTATTTACTCCAAGGCGTTAATATCGCCTTAATAGACCGAATCTTACAATGGAACGTGACACGAGATGGACACTTCTTGAGACCTTTGAGAATACACAAATCGCCGGGTTGGACAAGAGTTGGAGCCTTACATGGTTCCATAAAATATTATCTTACTTCAAAGCAGAGAAATCAACGCTGGACTATATACGCGACAACTTTGAACGGTTGAAGATGTGGACTCCACAATTACAACCCAAACAGATCTGCTCGCATGAGACGCAAGCCACAGTCGGCCCCGCGTTTCGCAAGCTGGCCAAGGGCCACAGTAAGAGCATGCACAGCCCCATCATGGAACAAATGACGCAGCTCGTGGGGGTGGGGCACGCGAACGGTGCCAAACTAATGCAGACTTTCAACAGAACTTATTAAGCCACTATATCGTACAATTGTTAGAGGAAGCACTCAATGGACGTACGTACGAACGCACTCGTCAATTACACCCGAAATGTCAATTAATGAAGACACACGAGCTCCTGCAATTGTTGAGTCCCGACATTCAAGACACCCAGCAGCGTACTATGGCGCGTCTTCAGAACCGAACTAACAGGGAGAGACTTAAGACCAACGGGGCTCGTGACTATACTAACAGCCGTCCCAACCCTCAGACAGTGCGAAGACAGTCGCAGCATTGGGCACAGCGGCCCCAAACGACAACACCTACGATATGTGCCGGCTGTCAATCACAAGCACCACCGGGTATACGACATATTCCACGATGTCATCATTTTCGTGCAGCGCAGCCAGGGGTGACAATGGTCGGGCACGCCAATACGACCAGACCCGTCAGCCGCGAGATATACAACCTGCACACAGACCGGCAGCAACCCCGACCTCGGGACAAGGGTAGAACAATCCCCCGACACGGAATTCACTACCACGCGACCAGCCTCTCATGTACAGGTGAACGCGATAACGCAGGATGTTAGTTTCGTACGACCACTAGAAGCAACCGAAGTACACATAAACACAATACTCACAGAAAATTTTAATCACGCGACACCGGAACCAGACCATAACCACGGAGCATGGGAGTCGGTCACCGAACTCCAGTGAGATGTGAGGGTGTCTGAGACCGATATGAGCTTGACCTTTGTCAATACGATCAGTGCAGTTATGGCGATACAGGACCCATTGCTCTTACTTGATAGCCGAGTCTATATTCACGTACAGGTCAAGGAGCGCACGTTCAAAGCGTTGATAAACACGGGGGCGAACAGAAGTTGAATATCACAGACATCCGCAACCCTCCTGGGCCGGCCAATAACTCCAGCACCACCTGGGTCATTCATCTACTTAGCTGACAAGACGGTACGAACTCTTCGACTGGGGACGACGGGAGTGTTACCCATTCGATATGGAACCAAAATTATCGACGGATTACTTGCACCAATGAATATACTTGTGGGCATGGACATCATAGTGGATCAGAAAGGTTGGGCATATACAGAACTTGATGAGCTTCTCGAACCCATCCCACGCCGACAAGCATCGAATACGACGGAGCCTGCCGATGCACACCAGCGGCTAGTACTAGACTTAGAGGCGAATGCGATGATTGTCCACAACGCGAGATGTCGTCTTGAAGGGAGTGAAGTCACCATTCCAGTTACACATGAACAGGCTATGCACATGCGTAGGTCTACGCGCAGCTTCGTATCCGACCAATGGCCACCCTGTGTCGACGAGCAATTGCGGAAGTGGTTGGCGGATCTAGAGAAGACAAAATGTACCACGCCTACGAAAGTGAACCTCTATCTTCTAGCGGTCCCGATGCTCGATGTGGAAGGAAACGTAAAGAAGGTGAGAGTGTGCTTAGACATGCGCGCCGTAAACGCGTTTATCCCTGGTGACCAGTTTATTCCAAAGGTCAAAGAACGTATATCTCGGCTAAAGAGTAAGAAGTACTACACAACTTTGAATATCACTGCAGTATACCATAGGCTGCCGATCCATCCAGACTCACAATACTTTTGCAGTTTCACGCATGAGCGTTATCAGTACTCGTTCACATCAGCACCTTTCGGACTCCATGTACTCACGCAGCAGTTCTAACGTACACTGAGCACGTTACTCGACGGACTACCGGTCCATCACTAGCGACGATTATGACGAACATATTAAGACGGTGCATAAATTTATCCAATGCTTAACTTACCATAGCTTTAAGCTCAACCCCGCCAAGTGCCACTTTGCTATCGCCGAAGTTATGATCCTAGGGAAGAAGGTGTCTGCGCAAGGCATCGACATTGACCATGAGAAACAAGCAAAGCTACTCGACTGGCCTACCCCAACTACGGTACAATCACATAGCTTCTGCCTTAGGTTTGGTGACTACCTCCATGAGCATCTCCCCAACTTAGCGGACACGGTCGCACCCTTACGAGAATTTTGCAATTTAAAACTGAAGAAGGAGTTATTAGCTTTGGTGTTTGGGCTTATACATTTCAGGGAACACCTTGATGGGCAACGTTTTGCAGTCTTTACATATCACAAGGCCCTAGTGTATTTGAACACTCAGCTTAAACTTAATCCGATGTCACAGAGATGGCACCATATCATCGCACCGTTCAACTTCATACCAGGGAAGTCGAACGTGTTAACAGACATGTTGAGCAATAGTGATGGTGCGGTCTGAGGGTAGAATGACTAAGGCGATGCAGCCGCAGTTTGGACCACATGGGGTTAAGGCTAGAGTCCGTCAGCGATATGAGTTGGCTAATAGGGACGGCTCCGCCCATCCAGAATTCAAAGACAAACCAGTACGTGTTGAACTCCTCCGCTTAGTACATCGCAGCACAGACTCACCACCTAATGATGAGTTGTGGGCGGAAAGCGAAGTTGAGTTTCGCCATATTAGTACACCCCGTACGAATGATGATACTGGGAAGATGGAATACTTGGTGAAATGGCGCAAAGGAGACCCTACGTGGGAAACAGCGGATGCATTTAACGATGCCAACGACATAGTGGGCTACCATAAGGCCTCGCAGACACGGTCACGTAAACGCCAAGGTACACAACTCTAATACTTTATACTAGAGTTTATCTACTAGATACGACGGTGCGCTCGAGCCGTGTACTTCGAGCCCTCTAGCTCTCAGATATTAAATGCCAGCACACTGCTCTAGCTCTCAGAGGAAAGATGCCAGCACCTTGCTCTAGTTCTCAGATGATAAATGCCAGCAACCAACTTTATATGTGTATTCCTTCTATGATCTCTAAACCTGGCACACTACTGTTTTGTAGTGCTTCAGCTTTTTTGGGGGGGATGTTGAGGTCGGAATACACCAGGTAGGGTCAAACTTAGGTATATTAGAGTTTATCAGAAGGATCTGATAAACTTAGTTTTACCGATTAATAGAATCGGCACATGACTCATCAATTAGAAAGTCATCGATTATAAAATCGGCACATGACTCATTAATTAGAGGAGTCAGTGATTTTTAAAATTGCTATTAAAAAAATAACGTCTCGCTCGAGGAAGAACGTTGAGATACAAATACCGTAGCGTGTACTCACGACATCGATTTCGTTTCAAGAAGCCAATGCTTTTATCGTACGCATACACGAACAGGACTTGACAGAAATGTATTGGCATGCATATAGTTCAAGCCTTCAGTACCTTTTGCAATACAGGTTCGTGAATTTGAACGCAAAGTTGAATTCATAGAGATGCTACAGTATGAGAATCCGCTACAGGTTTACCGCAATTGTGGTGGGCTTAAACATACACGTCAAGCTGAGCGGGGCGGGTGCGTACACCGCGCCACCCTTCGTATGCATCCAAACTAGCGAGATTACTCGTCTGAACAGATGCGTGATGTACAAAGCAGAAGAATATCGTCGGGGAGGGAGGTTCTCGTTTACGATCACACTTGCGTACGGATGCGAACACACGAGCTAACCCACACGCGCCACCAACATTGTATCCTCGGGTTCGTTATCGACTTTTTGCGCAGAACCTTCCTCCGGGACTAGGACATGCAAATTACTGTCCTAAAGATCATTAAACACCTGCACCATCCAACACGGGTCCCCTTAGACAATCTGGCGGGGCTACTATACGACGTATGTCGGGTACAAGCATTTCGACGAGTGCGTCGCAAGCGTCAGGAAACAACTTCTGCCTTCACGTTAGCTTAATAGACAAGATTCGAACTCGCAATCTTTCCGGTTTTACGCTCGTCCCACGAATAGTCCTCAACCAGCTGTCGCATAGCGACCGCCGCCCCTGCCGACGCATGGCCCACTTTCCTGCGCCGAGGACTAATATATATTTTTCTCTTCCGCGGCGCCACTGGCGAGCCACCTCGACCCAGGCCAATTATAGTCTCCACCCCTTGGCACAGGGACATTCGTGTCATTGAGCCACTACTACCGATTAAGCATTTGTAGCACCACAATCATGCTATTGTTCGCCCACATCAGCACCCATTCGGGGTCTCTGAGCTGATCGATGCCAATCAGCACATCACACCCCATTATTTTTTTGCGGGACCACATGGAACTGCTCTTTCGCAAGGGAAAGCTATCCTGATTCACCAGCAGGTGGGCTTCCAACCGCCTATGCGATACCAAATGGGAAGGATCCAGGTTTCCCATACCATCCAATCCGCTCAACTGCGGCCCGTCATACGGCTCATCAGCTATCCGCCGCAGCGAATCACTCGTAATGAGGCTATACATGCTACCAGAATCGACATTCGGCCACACTATATTTGTCGTCAGCAGCATGGGGACCCCCGTGCCCTTGTAATTGCGTCCGTTGTCTTTCCTTGACCCCTTCAGTGAGTTACACTGATCTGGCGTATGCACACTTGTCTTGCACAAGTAGCACCAAAGCTGGCACTCAGGCCCCTGACTTCTATTACTCTCATTCTCTCTACCCCGAGACAACGAACGTGAACGGGACTGTTCGCGAGAATCGCGACTCCAGTCGACTCGCGCCTATCCCTACCTTGCCATCGGTTTCACTCGTCCTTATTAGCATCCCCTCTATCCGAGTTGTACCCTCGGTCTCCCGAATAAGGGTTCCACTCATTCCCTTAATGCCAATTGCCCCACTTCGACCTGTCGAGGTTTGCATCACAGTACAGAATCACTACCGCCATAGAGCCTTAGTCACGCGCTGATTCCACTCTCCGTGTCCTTGTGGCGAAGGCGGGAGCTGCACCCCACCACGAAGCAGACACTTCTTGCTTTTCTGGATCGTATACACATACGCTCTCCGCTTAGCCGATGTCCAACATTTAAAAGCAGCTGGGTACCGATACCCTTTGGACAAGGCGTGTCAAACGGGTTCAAGTTCGGCTTTGCCCTATCACCTTTCAGCTGCTGCTGCTGCTACGGCTGACGGCTACCGCCTGTCAAACCCTGCGCACCCGAGCCAGGGTACGTCAGGATTATTCCATTGCATTGTACGTATATATTACGTGGCAATATCAAAACTTATAGATCGTCCTCAATACCGTATAGGCAACGTTGCCGGTTGGAGGATATTCAAGGACATTGTTCAAGAATTTTAGTACAATCTCACGCTGGGAGAGAAGGCAGCGCTCAATCTTCCCATCCAATATTGCCAAGATAGTATGGTTTTGCTCGCGACAGTTGGCGTACCGCGTGCAAAAACGATTTACTTCCGCCGCAAGAAAGTCCCGCGCCGCCGCTCCAGCAATCTCCGCTGCTCTTAAGTCAACCACTTTCGTCTTTACTACCTCCACTACTGGTTTAACCACCTCAGCCCCTCCCAAGTTAGACAAATATTGAGCACGTAAAACCTGCTCCAACTGACGCATAGTCGCCGTCTTCTTCACTGCCCATGCCACCCGCTTCGCCTCCTTCCTCTTCTCTGCCACGGTCTTCGGTCCTCTTTTCTTCAGGCCCTGCATCTCCACAACATCGTCACTAGTCTCACTAACTGCCCTGGCCATGCCCCCACCTACCATAGATGGCTGGGTTTCCTTGCGGCTTATATAACTCCACAACTGGAGTTATATCCTGGTAAGCCGTTAAACGCTCCTGCATTGCCAACATGTACTCAGCTGCAGGTGCTGCAAGTTCCGTATCCACAGCCTCATCACTAGTCTCACTAACTACCCTGGCCACGCCCCCACCTACCACAGATGGCTGGGTTTCCTGCGGCTCATCTAACTCCACAACTGGAGTTCTATACTGATAAGCCGTTAAACGCTTATGCATTGCCAACATGTACTCAGCTACAGACGCTGAAAGTTCCGTCTCCACAGGCTCATCAGTAGTCTCACTAACTACCCTGGACATGCCTCCACCTACCACAGATGGCTGGGTTTCTTCCGGCTCATTTCTAACTCCACTACTGGAGTTATATCCTGGTAAGAACGCACTGAGTCGGAGACA